AAAAGCATTATTTGTACCAAAATTGAGTAATTTAGTTACCAAAACTAACTATCCATGATTGAAGGCATATTTAAATATTTCTCATTTAATAAATAAAAAATAAAACAAAACTTGCCCGAAATGGTATGCAATTAATGTTGCCAGATTTTTTTGCTTACTATTTTTGGTAAATAGTAATTTTTATTATATATATATAGATGCAGTTACCAAGACTAGGGATTTGATGTAGAAAACTATACATATAAACTACTATCTCCTATGTCATTTTGACTTTATCAACCATTAACTAAATAAATGACGTTTTAGAACTTTTGTATATATTTTTCTATTTTTTACCCCATTTAACTAATAAATAAATTACGTCTTTTCATATTCACTCTTCATCTTTTCTCAAAACATTCATCTCTATCTTCATTAATGAGTGTTATTATTGGAAAAAAAAAATTCTTAATTACAGTACAACTTTTCAAAACGACACTTATTATGAACAAGAGGGAGTAATAATATTACATGTGTTATAAGTTAAGTGACAAACTTTTTTGTTGTATTTAAATAACAAATAGTATATTTATTAGTTACTATTATTTCACCACGTGAATATGCACAAATACGTGAAATAATATAATAAAAAATATTTATAAAAATTAATATTTATAATAATATAAATTGTACTTCCAAAAGTTAATATCTATAATGATAATGTTATAATGGTATTTATTGTATATATATATATATACACACACACTAGTACGGTAACTGTGTACTAAAATATATTAAAATTTATACAATAATAAATTTAAATGATGTATGTTTTTATTGTGAAATTATGTATGACGAATATACAACATTAATAAATAACTAAGAGAGTGATAATTGATTCAAAACGGTGCCCCGTATTTATATACTAAATTTGTCAAAAATAATATGTTTTAATTATATTTTTGAAATTGTAGATGTCTAAATAAAATATTATTTACAATTTCATATATTTCATTCAAATTCTTTTTAGAAAAATAAATTTTATTGTATTGTGAATATATATTATATTTAAAGAGTCGGTGTCTCTCGTTTGTTATTTTTTCAAATATTTTAAATTTATATAATTCAATAATTTAGAATATTCATTTACATAGAAATTTATTATTTTCTAACTAATAAAATTAAAAAAATTTTAATATATTTAATTATGATATTCCTTTATATTTATAATTTTAAACAACATAATAACATTTAGTTCATTATGTAATCTATTTAAATCGAAAAATAATATTTCTTAAAATTTATATGTAATGCTTTATGTTTATATTTTATCAATAATCTAAGAAAAACACAAAGTCATTATTTTATGGTGTATTGATGAATTAGATTTTTATTATTTATATAAAATAATTTATATTGTTATTTGATATTTTTTAAATTGATTTGATGATGAAATTAGTTTTATTTTTAAAGATAGTTAAAATTATTTTTATTTTATATATGCAATATGAATGTCAAATTGAAGATCGTTAAAATATGATTACTTTGATATGTTATATATACAAACTAAAATACAAATAAAAAAAGTTATAGAGTTTGAAAAATAAAAAGAATACATGTTTATAATAATTAATATATGATTTGAATAAGAAAAAGGTAAGAGTAATTGGTAACTTGCGAAAAAAACTTAAGAAAGAAAGAAAGTGAAAATATTTAATGATAATTTCCAAGTCTAATAGTCATAATCAAACCAGTATATTTTGTCAATATAAAGCACAAATTTGTCAAATAAGCTTACGAAAGATCTACCACTTAAACTAAGCATGTTCATAAATTATATATATGGACAATATATATATTAAATTAAAAGGTGTGTATTTTTATTTAAAACTATCTACTTCCAGACAATGAAAAATAATAGTAACTAGTACAATGCCCGTGAACTTCACGGGTGTTTCATAAAATTAAAAACTAATTATTCAACAAAAAGTAAAAAAGAACTAAAAGTATTATTGTAAAATAAATAAATAAAAACTATAAATAACTAATAAGAAAGTTTTTATTTAAACATTATTTTGAATTCTAAAAAATATTTTGATGAAGTATTATTTGTTTTATATAATATCTATTCGTTTTTGTCAAAACTAAATTATTAATTTATTAATATAACACCCGTGAACAACATAGGTGCTTAGAAATTGAATATTTCTTTCAAAATAAAGAAGCGAAGAAATTTATATTATTATAATAGAATGGTGAAAAGTTAAATATACAACTAATAACTAAAAAATAATAAAGTTAATTATTTAAAATAATACACATATTTTATACTCAATTTGTCAAAATGATAATTTTTTTAATGCGTGTGTGCGTGTGTTATTTACAACTCAATAATTTAATTTTGAATTAATTAATTTTTTTCAAGTTTGATTATATTGTAATTATATTTCATATTTATATATTTTTTTTTCCTCATCCAATATTTTTTAAAATATTTTCAACTTTATAATATTCAAATATATAATATGTATGAGGCTGAACTTTATGAAATATAATAATTATTTTTATTATTCTTATTATAATGTTTTTTTAATATCATTATAATGTTCACTCTCTACGTATTCATTATTTAAGTTGAAACATAAACCTTAGAATATTTTTTTATACTAATTTGATGTTCATAGTTAGCTTACATNATCAATTCGAGAATCGCTAAAAGATAATTAATTTGATATATCATATATGAAAAATAAAATACGAAAAAAAGTTAAAAAATTTTAAAAATAATAAGGAAAAACATTTATAATAATTAATATATCAATTAAATAAGAAAATGAAATGTAGTATATGGTAATGTAGGAATCGTAAACGTAAATAATATAAGAAAACTAACTGTGATATGAAATATCATACTAGATCGGTTTTAATGGACCAAAAAGAATATATTGGAGAATAAGCCGACACGTTGGCTAGGACACATTGCATAATAGTATTGGTCAAGCCCAATTTGGGCACTAAGGTACACTTCTCCTATAAAAGGGGCCTAAGGTATCCTAAAAACTCATTCTCTCTGCATTGAATGTTATACTCTCATATTGTACTCTTTATCTCTGGCGAGTGTTGGCTCGATGTCGGGACCCCTCCCGGCATCAGTTCTTGCAGTACAGAGGCCGTTCGAGTTGAAGGAGCCCAAGTGAAGTCTATTTCAACAGCATTGGCACCGTTTGTGGGACCCGTTCGAAAAGTCAAATAATTGACCATGGCAAACAGAGTTCCGACCAAAAAATTCTGAAAATTTTCCAGCAACCTCCTTCACCCGCTGCCGTCGGCTGCCGATCAAAATGCTCTGATTGCAAAGATTTTTACGCCACCGGATAGATCTCATCGAGGTGGTTCTCCTCTTAAAATTTCAGGCCAATACACCGCCGGGAAGGTCGTCAATTTTGCTGGTCAATGATTCCATGCATATCAAAGAAATTTCAATCAACATCCAACCTTCAAATCCATTTTCTCGTTGATCCGTGATGGCTACCGAAAATCTGAGAGCACCGTTGGAATCCTCTCACCGACTGGGCAATGAACCTGCTCAGCCTGACTAGGCGACATGTGGGGACTTTGACTTCAGGCTGCTCCTTTTGGACTCCTGCAACCTTTTCCCGTAAATCGCTGCGGATACCCTGCTCCGGGGTGCCTTCTGTAATTACTTGAATCTCTTTTCCTTTGATGCTTTTGTTGGTGCTTTTCTTTCAATGGTTTTCTGAATGTTTTTGAGACTGTTTGCCCAATGATAAGATAGCGAGAATACCATCAACCCCTTATAGCTGGTAAAAGACCGAATCTTCCCATAGACAACGCCAATTTGTTGGTCACTTTTTGTCACGAACCAGGTTGATTCTCCTACGCCCCAAACTGCCTTCGCCTTTGGGTTCCGGTGACTTGCAATACACTGGGAGGGGGTTTCAATGGAAAAACGTCCGACGCTCAGGTCAGAACTTGCTCAAACAAATGTATATATGAATATGTAATAAAAGGCGTACAATGCAATGATGACATGAAGAAGAACTTGTCACCCTTATATAAAGGGTAGTTATCTTGGTGCCTAAGAGAGTCCTTTTTAGGGAAGAGATCTGACTAGATCATACTTCCCAACTTACTACATCTCTATCTAGGTAAAAATCCTTGAGCAAGTGATTATTTCCTTCTTAGTAGGATTCTTTCCTCCTTTACTGTACATCCCTTAGGTCCTTAGGTCGTAACCCCGACCTCCTGACCTACTTGTTGTGGCTTACCAGTGGTCGAACCTGACCTCATCTTGAGGTAGAACTTAACTCTTCCCAAAGTCCAACTTGACCTCATCCCGAGGTCTAACCTGACCTCGGATCATACGACCTTGATACCTCGAGGTTGGCCGTGTTGCTGGGCTCCTGAAGGTCGGCACCTCTAGGTCGTCTACTTCAGATTGGTTGGAACCTGTTTAGGCCGATCAGTCGAGCTAGAGTTCTCATAGATTGGCCTAGCCGAGCTACCTGTTCAAAACGATCCGCCGAGCTATTCTGAGTGCTACATCAGACTTGTGAGAGGTCATATCTCAAGAGTCAAGAGTTTGTTTTTTCTTTATTTATTTTTGTGGTATTGTATATCCTTTGTATCCTCTATTTAATATCAATTTAGAAACTCAACTTCGTAATATTATTAAATATTGTTAACTAATATCCAAATGGATTAGAAAAAAGAGAAGGGGCAAGTTACATGGCCATTTTTCAGTTCCGGGCCTATTGGTGAAGGTAAACGTGAACTGACCCGATAATAAATACGGGAAAGTTCAACGAACTGGCGATTTCACGCCGAATCAATAAATTAAAAACAAATAATCGCTGAACCGGAACGGAAACCGGGACCGGCGGTTCAATTTGTAAAAATCAAGAGAATGAACAAGCCTGATAAATCAACTACAAACCTTTATAAAATCTCTCAAGTTTGAACTCTGAATTGGTCATTTGCAAAATATGGGATTCTATAGACCCAAAAGGAAAAAGTTCCTATAATTCATGTATTTATTCAGCGCAAAATAAATGTTAAATTTTGCGCAAAACGTGCTTATAAATCATGCATATAAATTCAAACCACACAATTTTCCACTCAACTACAAAAGCACTGGAACGTCTAATAACTGGAAAAGGATTCTTAAGACAACTTACAAGGTACACAAAAATCTTCGAGCATAAGATATGATGACAACAGATAATTCGAGGCTCGAGTCTTCACAGGCAGACTCGACTATAACTACAATGCTCCTCACTAGGACTACAATTTCATATGATAAATGAAACATCTTTAAAAATGTTCATTACCATAAGGGCTGTCAGCAGTTTTTCACACATCTCACAACACATTGAATCTGTGCATTAATGTCTTCTTTCTCTTCATGATTTTGAAGGCACTAATGTTCTGTATTGCTTTTCGGTAACTGATTTTATGCCGTGAGGATCAGGTTCGACATCCTCCATACCTTCTTTCGCTGGGTATCCGAGCCTTCGGGCCTGCAGCCATTGATCTATTGCTCCACAGCTAATCGCATACTTAATCGATTTTTCCAAGTATCCTGTGTCGGAAATGAGATGCGGCTGCACAGTCAGCATTCTCAGAAGACCTAAAAGAAATATCACGGAAAGATGTAAAGGAAAAAATTAACAGTAAAAAAAGAATGATAAGAATTCATAACAAATCAAATGGCATAAAAAATTACTTATATGGATAAAATTGAAGATAATGAAGTTGAGTTAAATTTGAGTTTTGATTGGTTTTTACAAGATGAATTTATATCCAATCACACCCTAAACTAGCAAAGTAAAAAATCTTTTTTTTTTTTTATTTCTTTTTGAAGTTGAGATTAAAAAGAAAATACGTGCATTCAAAACATTTTGGCGAGACGTTTTAAAAATTCAAGATTATTTGGACAACGGAGAGCTTGCTACCATTCTAAATCATTCTTGACGTAGAATCTTTTCCTAAGAACAGAAATATAAGCATCCATCAGCTGTCACTAGGTAATTTCACAAGTCTCTGATAGAGTGACCAAGGAACTAAGGAAACACATTTACCAAGATTCCTGGTCATGTTGAATTCTCTGTATGCAACCTTATATGACTTTTCGAAAAAGAGACATGTAATCATAATCACCGACACATGGTGAAAAAAAGGAAAAAGGATGGTCAAGCACAACTTCAAAGTTCAAATAAGAAATAGAATCCCCTTGTGGAAAAGTCATTATTTCTTCAAATTAATAAAACCGAAAAGTTTCTATTTTGGTATTGGTTTAGTTACCTGCAACAATACCATCTCCAGATGCTGACATGTCGGATGTATAAGGTGTGATAGGAGCATCCTCCACTCCATGCATAAAACCATCATTTTCCTCTGTGTAATAATGTATCTTAGAAGTTCCATTCGTCACAAACAAAACCTTGAGATTTTCGTGCCATAGCTGTTTCACAATTTCGGGTGCATAATGAGTGAATTTGGATTTATCATTATCTTTCGTGTCAAATTTTTCGGACGGCGTTATCCCACAAAGAAACTCAAGCTCTTGTTTGGTGACCTCGATAATATCAGACAAATCCCATGCAGCCTGTATGAATGCATTCGTTTCTTCAAACGATTGCCAGAGTGGCAATGGGAGGTTGAGGTCGTAAAAGACAACATTACCGAGCTTTTTCGCAATCCTGATGGCTTGTAAAGTGGTCGATCTCATGTTTCGGTCAAGGAGGCTGAATGAGTTGAAGTAGAACATTTTTGCCTTAAAAGGATTAATTGTTTGTGTCAGTAAATATACAATCCAACACCTCAAGCACATGAATATTTCTAAACCTGTTAAGAGTTAAATGGTTATCTAGTAAAAAAAGTGAACAAATAGAACACATCAATATGGACAAATAGTTCCAAACATAAATTATACTATAAAACTGAATTACACTCCAAAAGGACTTATTCTAAAAATAAATTTCAGACAAACAGATGTAAGACAAGAATATGCTTTACGAGCCATGACTGAGATACATGAGACGCTCCTTTCACACGATTTGATGTCAGAACCGGCTTCCAAAACTAAATTATAAACTCATAACAATCTTAAGTGCCAAAAAAAATATTAAACGCTAAAACTAAAAATATAAAAGAAGAACCTAAAAGGCTGACACAATAGACTTTAAAAAAAAAAAGCTAAACACACTGAAAAGCCACAAAACGCGTAGTTAGAAAAACTAAAAGATATATATATATATATATATATATATATGTATATATGTTACCTCTCTCAACACATCAATATTAATCTCTGACCGAGCCAAACAATCCTCCGCACAAAGCCTCACACCCCCCACCCTCAAACCATCTCTCTCCCAAATTCTCATCCTCGAAACTCCCGTTGCTCGATCCTTGTCAATACGCACAGACCTCGTCTGCACATTATTCTCATTCAAGAAATAAAGCAAGGACTGGCCATAGGCATCTTTCCCAAGCTTGCCCATGAATGCAACCTTACCTCCCAAGCTAGCGAGGGCCACAGCCACATTGCTCGAGCACCCACCCGAAGCTCGGACGAACTTCTCAGGCATCCAAAGGACATCCTTTTTTCGCTCGTGAATTTCGTGGTCGATGAGCCTGTTGGCCCGTCGGCCCGCGGGCAAGAACAAGTTCTGGGCTGCCCCAAAACAGCAGACTAATGGTGGCCACCCGTAAGTGAAGCTTATGTCCTCTGCATTGTCGATGTTGAGTTCGAGGTCACATTCACTCTGTTCGTTAGACGGTGGAGAAAACGGGTTCTCGTCGATATTCGAGAGTTCGGGCTCGATGGTTTTGGGTTTTTCCTTCTTGGACACTCTTCGCCTTGTTGTAGTCTTGGCCGGTGCTTCATCTGAGGTGTCGGAGGTTGGTGAGTAAGTGCATGCACAAAATTTTGCATTTTTTTTTTCTAGATGCAAGTGGCCAGAGAAATTGAATCAGTTTAGAAAACCGTTAGGTGTGTAAAAGTTAAACTAGAAGAAGAATCTGAACTTGAGGCGGGTGATTTTTGTCTGCAGAAAAAAGTTGCTAAAAATCGTTTTCTGCCCAACATGTGATATTGTGATTTTTTTTTTTTTCATATATTCTTATTTTTTCAATCAGTGATTCCAAATACATATATCAACTCCCACACAAACATATCACAAATACACTGTACGTTATCTCTTCATTTCAAATAACCAATTCATCTAAGCACAAATATAATAAAAGAAAAGAGCAGTTACTATATCAATTGTGCATTTTCATACGGTTTTTCGTTGTTAGTTTTACACTATTCTGATTGCACAAATTATAATCGAGAAACTGAAAGGTTGAGCAACCATTTCCCAAGACATCCTTCCCGTTCCACCTATTAGTAGATTTTAGTTAAAGAAAGCAAAATCAGAAACAGAAGTTGGCAAATGATTACACGAAAAAACTATATTTAAGCCCAACTCACTTAAACACTAAACTTCACATGGTGCAAAGGAATCAAGAATCAAGAATTTCATGCAAACTTCTCAATACTTTCACTCATTTAATAAAGACCTAACCTTTTTTCTGAGTTCTGGCACTAGACTTCCTTGAAATCTCTGTTGAAGCTGAAGCAATTACACTTTCCTCATGTATAGCCTTGACATTGTCTAAAGGATTCTCATCCGCACTCTCCACTACTTTTTTCCTGGTTCTTGCAGAAGCTCGTTTTCTCGTTTTACGAGTCTTTTCCTCTACAACTCCTGCTTCTCCATCTGATATCTCCAGAGGTATTGAGTCACTAACTTTGTTTCTTGAGACAGCTAACAGTCCCTTTTTATTTACTCTATACTCCTGAATTTTCACTAAGTGCATACATGGGAAGGAACTAACATTTAAGTCCCACCTGCATATTCTGCCCAAACAAACAGTAACAAACACTCTCAAAACTTGGTACATCCTTACTCTTGAACCAATACAAAAACACACAGAATAGTAGATTTCGAGTCACACTGCATAATGCCAGTTGTAGATTTGATATGACCTTCAAATTCAATCTTTTGTGCTAAGGTCTATAGTGTGTCTTTATCTTTTTTATCTCCATAAGAGAGTATCAAATTGTATAAGTGTATCAAGTGTCTGTAAACTTTTTTAATTAAAAGAAGCAAAAAAAAAAAAAAAAAAAAAAAAGAAGCTATTTAAGCTTCTAGCCGGATAAAATCAGTAAAATCTGAGAAATGTGACTCACTTTTGATTGCAAACTTTCCTGAAATTCATTGCAAAGCAGACTCATGAACAAGTATTCCTATTCTAGTTACATGCTCAAATTTAACATTCAGCACGAACAATGCAAACTTTTAATCAAAACGATAGAGACAAGCTGATATCCCGGCATAAAAAATATCCAGAATGGAAAACCAAAGAAGAAATGAACCTGGGAACCAAAGAAAACTGTGTAAAAGACAATGAAACCATGGATTGAGATTTTCTCACAAAACCCAGAAATTTCAGCACTGGGGTTTTAGGCAGACCGAATGCTTGGATTTTTCAGCACTGGAGTAGATAATTCATAATTTTTGATTTTCCATCATATGGATTTTAATATTTAGAAAAAGACGACAAAGTGACTTTTATACCCTTCTCTATCCTTGTCTATATATATATATATATAATTGCTAGCTAAGCAATAAATTTTACCTAATAAATAAAACTTAATAAATTTTACCTATGTGACAAATCATTAATAAAACCTAATAAATAGAACCTAATAAATTTTATTTATGTGGTATTAATACATACAATCTCATTAATAAAAAAATATTTCATTACATTTTTTTGGGTTAATTAAGACAAAAACTATTATATTTTATGTTAATTGATTAATAATTATATTTTTTATTGAATAAATATTTTTTTATATGATGAAGATGTTGTTTATTAAAAATTTAATTTTTTTTATGTCATAATAAAATTTCTTAAAATCACATAAGCAATTGTTATAATAAATGTAATATTTTTCAGCTAATTAATTGGTCATGATCACTCAAAATTATAAAAAGTATATATTTATTACATTTTATGCAATCAATATAGTGATTCGTATACAATCAAATCATGTGTACTATTTATTTTAACCAATGATCAAATTTTAAAATATAATACTATTATATAATTTATAATTTTAATATTATATACATAAATATAAATTATAATACTATATGTTTGGAATATAATACAATTATATAACTTATAATTTTTATATTATATACATAAATATAACTTATAATATTTAATTTTATTTACATCTGTGCAAATGCACATAGTCGAATACTAGTTTTTCACAAAGTTGCCCCTAGCTAGTAGGTATACGAAATTACGAATTGCAGCAGGCTTGCCTCTGTTCATTGGTCTACAGTCTCTCTGCTGTGTACCTTTCCATCATCTCCTCCTTCCTTTTTTCTGGGAACTCTTTTTCTGCACAATCCTTGGAGGAGCTATTCTCGTTCAATGGTACTATTGTCTTACATCTACAATATGGAATTTGTCTCAATTGGCAGTCCTCTTCTATTTCTGTGTAGTTGTGGAGCTCAGTGTTTGTGCATAATTAGATGGGCTTGACATATTAGCGGTTATTGAACATCGTATCTTGTCGAAAAATCAATCTTGGATGAATTTCATCAAACAGCTGGTGCCCATTAAGCATGTGGCAAGGGCAGCTAAGAATTCATGTAAAGGTGATTTCGGGTTTTGCATAATCTTATATTAATGAATCTGTCCGTTTTCAACCGCATGTAACTGTGAGGATGAGGTCTGTTTCGATTCATGGTCTCCTTGCTTGGTCCTTTGTGGTGATTTGTGCTAAATATGTAGATACACCTTTGTTTACAATTGTCTCTGAAGAAATCTGGTACTGTTGATGTGTTTGTGTGAATAAATTTTCAATCTATTTTTAATTTGATATCAATAATATCCAGATGAGTTGGATTCTCTAATGTGAATTTCATGGGTTGCTAATAGTGGTGAATTGATCTGAAAATTTCTGGTCTTTCTTTTGCTCAAGGATATTACTTACTAATCTATAAGCCTGAATCAGAAAACAAGAATCAAGTTGTTTTTTATTCCTCTTCAGAAGTTCAAATTTACTCTGGTCTCAATTTCGTAAAACTCAGCCTGCAAGATAAATTCAATTGTATTCTTTCGTAAATCGTAATCACTTGCAAAAAAAAGGGATTGATATGTTTTAGTGTCTTTAAACCATTCAACTTATGCTTCTTCTAGTTTACAATATTCAAGTTCTAAAACCGGAGAGAACGGGATTTGTGTTGCAGACCAAAAACGGTTAAAATTTCTCTCATGTTCCTATTCCTTCACAGGCGCAAGCTTCTGTATTTCTCGTTCAATCCACGAAACCACGATCGAAGTAAACTCCAAAGAGGAAGAAGTCGTAATCGCCCTCGGAAGCAACGTTGGCAACCAGATTCGAAACTTCGAACACGCCTTACAGCGCATGAGAAAATCCGGCATCCAAATAACTCGACACGCCTGTTTATACGAGAGACAGAGCCCGCCTACGTAATCCACCAACCCCATTTCCTCAACTCCGCCGTTCGTGCCAACACAAAGCTCGGCCCGCTAAAGCTCTTACAAACCCTCAAAGACATCGAACGAGACATGGGCCAGACAGCTGGCATCAGGTACGGCCGACGCCAAATCGACCTCGACATCCTCTTCTACGGCGACCAAACTGTCGACACAGACACTCTCAAAATCCCACACGAGAGAATCTGAGAGAGGCCTTTTGTTCTAAGCCCATTGACTGATGTATTGGTCCACGACACTGAGAATGATGACGTGGCACGATTTTGGCACGACTCGTCGGGTTTTTTAGGCGGGATTTTCGAGGCGTGGGAAAAATGGGGCCCACGCGGAATAATGAGGAGGGTTTTGCCAGTCTCGAGTGGATTATGGGATTGGTCTGAAAAAACATGGGTTATGGGTGACAGCTTTAGCGACGGGGGCAAATTCGTCGACGTGAAATCGGTCGTCGATCGAGCGAAATCAATTTTGGCTGACGGTGCAGATATAATCGATATAGGCGCGCAGTCAACTCGGCCAATGGCGGAAAAGCTCTCTCCCAAGCAGGAACTAAGTCGACTCATCCCGGTTCTTGATGCAGTTATGGATTTGCCTGAAATCGAGGGGAAGTTGATATCAGTCGACACTTTTTACTTGGAAGTCGCATTGGGAAGCGGCCAAACACAGCGCTAATATCGTGAACGATGTCTCTGCCGGGAGATTAGACCCTAACATGCATAAAGTTGTGGCGGGACTCGAAATTCCGTACGTGGCCATGCAGAACAGCGAGAACCTGAGTTATGATGATGTGTGCACTGACGTGGCGCGCGAACTGTGTGAGTGTGTTGGGGAGGCGGAGTTATCCGGGCTGCCAGCCTGGAGGATGATTGTGGACCCTGGGATTGGGTTCTCGAAAAATACGGAGCAGAATTTGGATATAATTAATGGGTTGAAGGATATGAGGGGTGAGATTGGGAAGAGGAGGTTGGCCCTGTCACGTGTGCCGTTGTTGGTAGGGGTTTCTAGGAAGAGGTTTTTGGGTGAGATTTGCGGCCAGCCAAACCGGCACAACGGGATGCTGCCACTGTGGCTTGTGTGGCGGCTGGGGTTTTTGGGGGTGCGAATATTGTGTGAGGGATTGTAGGGATGCTGTTAGGGTCTGTGAGGCGTTGATGCGGAGAAGGAAATGAGACTTACTGTTTTGCTTCTGTTGAGGTCCATGAATATAAGAGGGGAATTAGAGAATTATGTTGAAGGGGAGGAGAAGTTGGAAGTTAAGGATGCTCAGCAACTGAATAAAAAGTGTCCAGGTTTGGAATTATTTTTGAGAACAATGTGTGTGTGTGTGTGTGTTTTTTTTTTTCTGAGAGTATGTTGTCTTCACCTATTAGAAGAGAAATGAAGTGACAAACTAAAATGTATCCATGAGGTGTTTTAACAGTACTTAAGAACATCTGAATCCAATGAGCCTTGGATTTCTGCAATTACTATAAAGACAGTTCAAGTTTTAACCTTTAAGTTTGGGGGAAGATCAAATTACCATATTAGAATTGGTAAATACTCTTCACATTTTTGCCAATTCTTTAGTAGACTGCACGGTATTTTTAATTATAATCAAGTTTTGCTATGAAGCAATCCGATGGTGCATCTTATGAAGTCATCCATAATTATTAGTACTAATGGTGTATTTAGGCATGGCCAAAAAGCTTGGGCAGTCGGTTCCGGACCCAATCCAGCGGGTCGACAAGCCTATACGTATGGGCCCAAAACCGACCTGGCAGAAGCAATGGGCCGGTTCCAAAAATTGGTGCCCCTCGATAATTTGTTTAAAATAGAATAGCTATCAATTGGAGAAGATAAAAGTAATAACTTGTGCTAGTTGAAACATATAAGTTAGAAAATAGTATTTTTAACTTGTAATATGTCAATTAAGTTGTTTACATATTTATTACCTTGAGAATCAAGGTATTTGTAGTTTGCTTACATGACATGAAGTGTTCAACATTTTACTCCAAGTCAGTTTCTGTCGTCGTCGATTCTACCGGTTCCAATTGTAGTACTAAAATCAGCAGTCTCGTCATTCTCCTCTTCAATTCTCATGACCGTTTGTGCTCCTCTTTCGGGCTTCTTTCAATCGCTCAACAATATTTGTGCTTTTATAATGTTAATCCCAATTGTCATTTGTCAAGAGTGTATATTCTCTCGCTAAATGCTTGTTCAACCACCGCAGTTGAGGCTAGGATAACAAAGATTTCCTTGGCAATCAAGCATGAAACATTATACAAGTTCTTCATTTTGTAACCAATTCAAGACATTGAATTGGAGTGACGGGTGAGGTTCTTTGGACAGTTTAAGTTTGAGTTCTCCAAGTAGTGATCGAGTTCATCATATTTAATCCTCGTCCTTCTCGCACTCTCACCCGTTGAGGTATCGCCATCTTCGTATACATTGAACGACTTAGCCCAAGATTGGAAGTTTTTAAATGCAGACAAATGTCTCGACCCTTTTTCGAATTCAAATGGGGCTCTTATATAATGGATTGTGAAGATATGGGAGGCCAAAGCTCGGCCCATTATGAGGCCATTGGAGCTTGAGTAGCAGTATCCTCATTCTCAGGGACATCATCTTGTATAGATCAAAATATTTCATCGATTTCCTCGGCCAAGTTCATCAGGGATATGGTCTTTGTTGAACAATGGTACCAACACATTGTCTTACCACACGTTGATGTCACACTTTTTTCGTTTTGGTGGTTGTCCATCGGCACTCAATGGACTCCCTATAAGATTTCTTCCACGACCACCATGAGAACCCCACATTTTTGTAACATAATTAACGAAATTGAGCTTCAAAGGTGCTTAAGATTTAATAAGTTAATAATTCTGGATAACNNNGAGAATAAGAAAATTGAGCAGATAAAGAGAATTATGTGTAAAAAATTAAGAGGTGATTGAGAGTATTTATAGGCAAATATTTCAAAAAATAAAATAAAATAAAAATTGTCGACGACTCCTCTGATCACGCAGATGTTGACTGTATGATCTTCAACGGTCACAAGATCCAAGATCCAAGATCCATCGGTCAATTTGAAAAATCAATTATTGTGGCTCAGTTGACCCGCCTACTTCGGTTTCTATTCCGACCCGTTAGGTCAAAATAATTTCGAATTTCCAATTTAAAATTCAAAATTTTGGTGTCAGGTAGAACTGAAAATTCGAAGTCAAAATAATTTTGAATTTGAAATTGAAATTCAAAATTTCGAATTTTGAATTTGAATTTCGATTTTTTATTCGAATTTGAAATTCAAAACAATTAAATGAACAAACTCGAACACGATTGTTTGCTCGAAAAATAAACAAACGAACACGAACACTGTTCGAACGTAAACGAACAGGAGCTCAAACAATCGAAGCTCGGTTCGGTTCGCTTACAACACCAGTGCCAGGCCGATAATTGGGGATCAAAATGTATTATCTAGGGCCCGGTTTTGGGGCGGCTGTTTGACCCATGGTCAACGGGCTTAGCATAGTTGCCGGCGGGCCAGGTCGTTGGCCATGTCCGTATACTAACATGTATTCTAAAATAAACACCACTTGGGATAAATGTTAATATATCGATTCATTCAAATTAATTGATAAGGTGAATTTTTTTTCGCACCTTATTGAAAAAAACTATGCAAGCAGTATTGTAAATAACAAAAGGTGACGAACTTCTTGTTTTCAAATAATATTGTAGAACGTGAACAAACTACTACGTGCAATGAAGTTGCAATTTGTGAGGCAATAAGCTGTCAATCCACGTTCTAAAAACATATGGAGGCACCAAAACCTTCAACTGGGGGATTAAAAATTTTAAATTCAAAGAAATAAAAAAAACGAATATGGACACCCAATCACCCTCTAATACTCATTTTTTTAGGATTTGACCAGGGTGTCGGTGAGTACATTCATAAATATCATTCTGGGAAATTTAATACAAAAATAAATAAATGTTTACCATTGACAGCTAATTTCGTGGTAAATTGTTGTAAAAGACAGCTAATTGATGATGACTCATGTACTAAATTGTTTTTTGTTTTTATTTTTCCTGGCTCCTTCCTTTCCATCATACTTATTGTTGCCGCCTCGGAAATTCAAAATTTTTGTTACAGCCATCACAGTTACGTTGGTGTAACGTGTAACGAAAAAGAAAGAAATCAAAATTTCGAAATTTCCGCTTTAGAGATTGTTGCATGTTATAATGTGCACGTGTATAATACAATCACTTCGTATATAATTACAAGATGTGTTCAGCCTAAGTATTATAATGTGCACGTGTATAATACAATCACTTCGTATATAATTACAAAATATGTTTAGCCTAAGTGCCAGACTCACACGCTTCAAAATTTTATGCGCAAAAACAAATCATGCTGAGTCAGACTTAGATATAAATTAATATTTTTTATATAAAAATAATTAGTCTTGAATTTGATTTAATGTCTATATTATGCATATTAAATTAATGGTTGATCTCTTTCTTTATTTCTTCTGTAATTAGTTTCCATAAACTATTTTACTTCATTTTCTTATATTACTATATATTACACTTTTTTTTCTTATTTAATAACAAGTAGTCAAGTACCCATGTAATATACCGGTATTATTGTATTAGTAGATGGACACACAAAAAATTGAACATAAAAACTTAACACAAATATAAATAACAGAAGTTGATTATTAAAAGCACTCTATTTGAGCATCAGAAACAGAAAGTCCTAAGCATTGTGAAATTTTGGAGCAAGCCTCAGAAGAGACCGAGAAAAACCAACCGCGTTGTCCTGCTCCTTCTCTTGTCCCTCACGTAGTGCCGGCGAAATTCGAAAAAGATAACAATGGCAGGAGAAAAATCGACGCCCCTGCTGAAAGATGAGCTTGATATAGTGATACCCACCATCAGAAACCTCGATTTCCTCGAGATGTGGCGGCCCTTCTTCGAGCAGTACCATCTAATCATAGTCCAGGATGGTGACCCTTCAAAAACCATCAAAGTTCCTGAGGGTTTTGATTACGAGCTCTATAATCGCAATGATATTAACAGAATTCTTGGCCCGAAAGCCTCCTGCATCTCCTTTAAGGACTCTGCCTGCAGGTGCTTTGGGTACATGGTCTCAAAGAAGAAGTATATTTACACCATTGATGACGATTGCTTTGTGAGTTTTTCGAACATCCTTTCGTTGTTCTTTCTCCCGTCCTTTTGTTTGAACTGTTTGCGTGTTTTGTCTTAGTTCTTTTTTTTTGGCGGGATAAAATATTGGATCTTGACTTATTATTGTGTTGGATTAGTTATGTATGAAGGGAAAGGTTGAATCTTTTTGTTGAATTGGAGTTTTGGGGTGTGGATGAATTTGAATCTCGACTTATTATTGTGTAGGATATATGTTGGTTCTTGAATTGAGGAAGAATTAGGTTTGAGACTTTGAATTTTGTGCATACTTTGTGCTGATTTCGAGTTTTTTTCTTTCTTTTCTTTCTCATGGGTTTTTAGTTTTTACATTCTGGTTGTGTGCCATCTGAAGTAATTTGGATGAGCTAGTTATATCAGCTCAAACTCTCTGCTCCAAAAGTAGAATGTAGTAGCTTGGTGCTGGTGTCGTATTGTTTGAAATGCCCATCTTTATTATACATCTACATTGCACACGAGCAAAAAATGAATTTAATTAATTATCGAGCACATCTTTGTCGTAATTCCTTGTGGATCTTGTTTCCCCCCTGGCTAATAGCTTAAATGACATGCCTTCAATTTTTTTTCTAGTCCTGTAATAAAATGTCTCTAAATATGATTGTTAGTTATCAGTACTTATTACCTTCACAATGTCTAGGTGGCCAAGGACCCATCCGGAAAAGACATAAATGCCCTCGAACAGCACATAAAGAACCTCTTGTCTCCATCCACTCCCCATTTCTTCAACACTCTATATGATCCTTATAGGGAAGGTGCCGATTTTGTTCGCGGTTATCCTTTTAGTCTACGTGAGGGTGTACCAACTGCAGTCTCTCATGGTCTCTGGCTCAACATTCCCGATTATGATGCGCCAACTCAGCTTGTCAAGCCCCGTGAAAGGAATACTAGGCACGTGACTATAAAAACATTGGGAAATTTATGAATACATCATACCTTTTTTATTTGCGTTCTAGTCTTTAGCCTATTAATTGTTTGTTTTTGGGTTTTTTTAAGATATGTGGATGCAGTTTTGACGATTCCCAAGGGAACTATCTTCCCGATGTGTGGTATGAATTTGGGCTTCAATCGGGATTTGATTGGGCCCGCTATGTACTTCGGGCTCATGGGCGATGGTCAGCCAATCGGGCGATATGACGACATGTGGGCTGGCTGGTGCACCAAGGTAAACTTATTGAAGCTTTCTTTGTCTAGTTATGATAAGAATTTTGCAATTCTAGAGCCTCATTTTATTGTTTCAGCTTCTCATTATGGCATAATATAAGAGTCCAGCTATTTGTTTTAAAATTACAAAGTTCGCCTCAACTTTTTGTTTTTCTTGTACAAAGTTTCACTGCCACGGGGAAATAAATTTCTAGTAATGGTGTTTGTAGGTTTTTCTTTTTGTAATTTTGAAATTCAGTAATCAACCATTAACGTAATTTTCCAAAAACTGCCTAGAGTAAGTATGAGAAACTTTATCCACCCACTATTTCTCATTTACTCACTCCTATATTTTCATATTGATTAAAAAATAAGAGAAAGTCGATAAAATTTTGAATATTTTGCAGGTGATATGTGACCATTTGAACCTGGGAGTGAAGACAGGTTTGCCCTACATATGGCACAGCAAAGCCAGCAACCCGTTTGTGAACCTTAAAAAGGAGTACAAAGGGATCTACTGGCAAGAAGATATTATCCCGTTTTTCCAATCAGTTACTTTTCCGAAAGAATGCACAACAGTCCAGCACTGCTACATTGAGCTGGCCAAGCAAGTCAAGGACAAACTTTCGGCCATTGATCCTTACTTCACAAAGCTGGCGGAGGCCATGGTGACGTGGATTGAGGCTTGGGACGAGCTCAACCCTTCTGGGGATGCGCCAGCTAAGCTCCCCAATAGCAACAGGAAATAGATTTCCATCTTATTTTTGTAATCATTATTATGCTATGAGCAAGTTGGATTAAGGATTATTTCAAAGAGTTGCTTTACTATTGCTTATGTCGTAGCATTATTTATGCAGTAATTAAACTCAGTTTCTGGTTGAAGTAATTACCCTTTTGAAGAGTTGGAAGTCTTTTGCCTTGTCATACTCGTGTGAATTTATCCATTAGACTCAAATATTTCTATTAAAATGGCAATAATTGGGAAAACAACCTGTCCTTTTCAAAAGTTTGTAAGGTGTCATGTTTCACCACTATCGAAATATCAACAAATTAAATTCACTTTGAATCATGCTCTCAGTTCGAACATAATCTAAAGTTCATTTTTCAATTCTTCCTTTTGAACAAGCAATGAACTTTCAGCTCCTCCAGGGCTTGTTCCGATGATCAAAAGTTCTAATGTAATGAGAAAGCAAACATGAAGATTGATCAATACTTGTAATAGTTCAGGCCTCGCAAAGAAAATACACGAGTAAATATCCCATTCCAACATGTAAAGGCAAACTGAAAAGAGACAGCATTACAAATTGATCGGAATATTTACATCTCCATCGAGTGATTATGATAACAAACCTGTTGAAATAACAGCAGCTCATGATGTGGCGCTGAAAAGATCAGCCCAACATTTTCCTTATATTTTCCTCAATTTTTTTGGTTTTTGAATTTTTTGATTTGACAAATTATAGTTTTGGAAGAGTATTGATCCCATCATCAATAGACCAAAGAACAATAATTTTTTGGCGTATCAACAAATCTTTGCAGAAACTTTTTCAAGATGGCAGATAAACCAGCAGCTCACCTTCGTTTGCCACAGCCAAAGCACCAAAGTTGGACGTGTCGGTAGTTATGAACGGCACTGTGCCATCTGAAGTACCAATGTCGAGCAAGTTAACTAAATATGAAGTGGAATTTTAAGCAAAGGAACACATATATTGTGTAGGATATATTTTGCAGAAGCTTTTGCTTTCAGATTGAGTAATTATTTTATCTTTTAGCTGATAGGAACTTGAGAAATTGAATATGTACAAGATTACTTGGGCATTTCAGGTTGGCAAATATCCTTTCAGCGGTTAGATAGTGAAAATACCTTTAAATGAGTGTACGTTTCCTAGCTTCAGCCCTGTAGATAGTTCCCACATATAAACCAGTCCATCAGCTCTACCTATAATTCCATGACCCATTGGTGTGACAGAAGCAGCCCTGCAACAAGAACTTCTATCAACATTATAAATGCATGTACAAGCACTTTACCTCATCAGATCAGAGGATGTAAAGAAATAAATTGTTGGAGTTTGACATAAATTGTTAATTGTTTGCTTACCTAGATCCATATATCAGGAATATTAATCACAAATCTCCTCATTTTATTTGTCTATATTTTCTGTTATTAGAGAAGTTTTTTTTTTATTATTAATTTTATAATTATTCATTACATAAAGTAGAAGATTTGATGATTTATACCCTTGATCCAAATCACTTCCAGCAATGACCTTGTTGTTGACCAGCAAAGCAAGCCTCCAACACTCACTCTGTTTTGCTTCTGTTTCGGATGATTGATAGGAATCCGGATCAGAAGGGGTTGATATCAGAAGCCAAACAGTCACATCTTTACCCTCTGATGAGAATATGTGATTTTCGATTCTCTCCAAGAACGAAGTTTTTGTGGCATCCATGATTCCATCCACTAATGCCTTCATCTTGCATTCTCCATTCCTTTGCCATCTGAAAGCACTGACAGGAATCAACCCTGAAATCGACATGCCTGGGGAGGAGAATTTTGATATCAGGTTGCGCCTTTTAATGTCCCTGCACAATATGAATATAAATTTCTTTGAAGAAAAAGGAAGATATAAGTACGAAAGAAAGCATGCATGCAGTTCATTCAGCTTACTAGTTGTTCTGTAATTTGAAAAGCCCACAGATAATAATTATGGGCGAAGCATAAGTAAAACAATGTGATGGCTTTGCTGATAATTGTTGTTTGAAAGCCTCGAACAATGTGACGGCTTTGCTCATAATAGTTGTTTGAAAGCCTCTAGTGGTTCTAAGTCCACATATATATATTTAATTTAGTTGGCTTTGTGCAAACTGTCAGCAACATTACGTCCACAGTCTAATCTAATTACAAGTTTCAGATTTTCTAAAGAATAAAAGGAACATACCATAGGCCAAATTCCCCTAGGCCATTGTGGCCAACGACCAAACTGTCAGAGTTTGGAATTGTCTTCAACTCTGCAATACTAGGAAACATGCTGTCAAATGTAGGTAAATGACAATCTTCTTTCGGTTGACTGCCAAATAGAGAAGCAAAAGTTAGCATAGAGTGAATGATTACCTAAACAGAAAAAAAGAAAATAAAAGCTGCCTGATTGGGATGTGATGCCAGGTACATAGGAGGTTAAGCTTGGTCATGAAACTGAGGGAAATCAATTGTTCTGAGATAATTCCGAAGGACCTTTATGCTTTCAGCTGTCCATATTTTCCAAGTATGGGACTTACATGTTTGTATGATTTCATTGTAGAGTGTCATTTTATGAACAGTAAGACTCCATTTTATAAACTAAATCTTGTATGATAGAACAAATCAACAGATGTGTGACCCATTTGTACAGGTACTCCAATCACAGAACATGGTCGCATTTTGTACATTGCGTACATATTCATTTTTTTAAGCATAAAAGAAAAAACCAAATATGACACTAATAGAGTTGAATATAACTTCACTTGTCCATCTATGATGCTAAACCAACCAAGAATCACTCAACACACTTTACAATCTGCTATAAGATGAACACTAAAAAAAAAAAAAGAATCAAATCATCAACATAATAAGAAACGAATCAAATGACAAAACACCACGTATTGGCATTTTCCCTTGCTGTTTCATTCTCAACACGTTTGCTCCAGAATAGATTAAAGTTCCCGAGTAAGTAATAAGAAAGAAAGGCTTCGAATCACCTCCACCCAGAGTTCATGACCCACAGCTTCAGCTTTCCACCCTCCTCCCCAGCCAGAACTGTATACCCACAGACCAATAAACAGCATACCCCTTGAGACGTTTGCAGTCTTGTCACAAGGGAGGCATATCCCTTGTTTAAACGTAAAATTTTAACTGCATTTTTTTCATAGCAATCTGAAGTACAAGCTGGACACGAGCAATCCAGTTTACCCTCCCTGGAAGCATAGGTGCAAAGTTTTGTGTTAAGAGTCTATATTAATTAAACTGTCCAAACATGAGTAGACCACACAGAGCAAAAGAATATATTTACCTACAGTAAGGAGTTATAATGCTGTTCAATAGAACAAGATACTGTGCATCTGGAGTTAACTGTAGTGAAGATCTATATGGAGCACTCTGCAAAACAAGTGGAATGTTACTGTGTTGCTATATGCAAAGTTGAACTGCTGATGTGACAAAAAATTAAATCAGCGGTCTTACATCTTTTCCAAGATTAAAATTTGAAATTCGGAAAGCTATTGGAGCATGGCCAATTAAAGTAGGGCAACTAGTCTTCTCTCGATTCATTGAGGCGTTGTACAAAAAGAGGGTGCTTTCATTGTGCTCCGGATATCCACATGTAACACATACAAAAACTTCTTTCTCTTTAACAATCAGATGAACCATGGAAATTGGTTTGGGATGGATATAGCGTGCAAAAAGCTCTAGATGGCCCAGTGACTTGCTATAATATTCCATATTTTGTCGAGTATTCTCTCTAGAATAATCTTTAGTTTCATTGTAATCAGGCAGACTGTGGCAACCACTTGTACTTGGGATTTCTGACTTTGAAGATGAAGTATCCCTACCACAAAAGTCCGTGTTTTTGCGCAATTTGGCAAATCTAGCTTCAGATTTCTGAAGTCATAAAAAATGTGAAGTATTGATGTGGAAATTGTTGATAAATGATTTCGAGAACTAGATCACCTAAACTGAAAGCATTATATATTTCGTACCTCAGGCATATTTATATCTGAGATTTTTTTGTCTGTGAAAGTTTCTGATTTATAAGTTCCATGCATTGTAGATGCATGAGCAGGAGGAACCTTATCTAAGGACTGGCACTCAAACCTGGCTCGTTTTGAGTTTGAAGTTATTTCCTTCATAGGGGCAGGACCAATATCTGCTGCCGTCACAAATTTAACACCAGCTGTCCCAGTATCTGTCCATGCATAGAAGACATATGATCAAAATATTCTTCTACAAATCTGCACATGCAATTGTACCAGTCATCATCATCCAGTTATTTAGAGTTGAAGCTTAATATTTTTGATTTCATGCCCAGGAAAATTAAAAAGGCTAGATGGATATAAGATCCAAATGCAGGTTCAACCAATAAAACTACATAGAGATATGGGACTTATAGAAGGACGGAAAACACCAAATAACAAAACTGACCAGCTTTGGCAGCATCAGAATTGGGAAATACAGATTGAGGATCATCATTATCAAAACTATCAGGTGCCACATAATCTGAATTTCCAGCTGAATCTTGACCACCAGAGATGGTACAAACCTTTCCTGTATCTGAATGCTCAGCTAGCCCGCACACTGAAAAGTTTTAGAAAAGTAAACGAAAAGATCATAGCAAGCAACTTGTACAACAAGTGCCTCATTTAAAATAAAATTTATTAGTCAAATAGGAGAAAGATATAACACTTCACCTGGGGTTGCGCCATCAATGCTAATCTTAGGCATGCTATTTTCATCCTGTAATCTATTTGTTTGGAGATTTGAAGGCTTTCCAGTTTTCTTTTTCTTTCTCGTGAAAGTCTTGAGCAAAGGAACAGCTTGAGGAAGTAGAACTGACATCATGGATTTGGCTATTTCTTGACCAATTGAATCAATATGACAGTTCTCTGAGCTTGTGCAGTTTGCAGATGAGAATATTCCATCTTCTGGACACGATTCAGTTACCAAAATCTCATCCTTAACTGCATCTTTTATGATTGCATCATTTTCAACTCCATGCACTTGCAGGTCATTCACTGGAGAAGAAAAAATACATGTCTGAGTTAGAATATAAATGTGATTAAAGATAGTGGCCGGGAAATTGTTAAATCAACCACTTGATTTATTTCTGTTTGCAAGGTTAAGTTTAAGAGTAGCAAAACCTTCAGCAGGATCCAAACTGTCGGGTATGCACATATCAGCGTCATGCACAATTGAAAAGACATGCTGAAGATTAGTTGCTCCACCTCTCTTTTCTGGTATTATGTTATTGAATCCCTTGACCTGAACATATCC